TCGGTGCCAGTCACGAGTTGTTCAGCCAGCCGGGGTCAAAAGTTCAAGGTCAGTGAAATGGGAATCCCCGGCGAGTGTGAGTGAAAGGGGGTGAAAAGGGCGTGTGGTTCAGAATCAGCTATTCTCTACTACTCAAATATATATGTGGGGTACGTGTATATCTTCAGTAAAACCCCTACATGAAATGTTTTCAATGGTTTATGTTGCACTCTATGTTGGCAACACACGGTGCGGCGTCTCCATGTGAGAATACAGCATGCACAAGTATTGGACATTGGCTACGGCTCTCCACCGCTGCCTCTTTTGGTAAAAAATTTGAAGCCGCATTGCAGGAGGCGGGACTGGATTATGGCTACCCCTGTAATGCACCACCCCATAAAATGCCGTATATAATTAAACTGAAACACCGGCAGTGCTGGGTGCACATACGTGAATTACAAATTCTCAATCTGCTCTCTCCATCTTTCCGATCCTTCAAAGCCCTCTGAGAATCGGCAAACGGGCTCCTCCACTCATATTTTCTTGCCATTTCTTTCATTTTATATGTTTTAATGACTGTTATGTGCATTTATTTCAGCTAGAGCACAAACCGCTGATGAGTCGTTGCTTACAGGACGACCAGCTTCTTGGTATTTCTTGATGATGGCCACTGTTGTTAAGGTGATTGTACTGTGATCTCTTACTGTAGCCTTGTTGGTAAAACGTCAGTGATTCTTTGTTATTGGTCATCCCAAAGGTAGGATTCAGTGATTGAGTCTCCTGTGAACTCATTCCCTCATGTCCTGTAGACCTAGTACATTAAGACCTACCCCACCTTACTGTCTTATACATGTAATATAGGGCGTGTAAACAAAGTGTGACTTCATTATGTCTATCTAAGGATCATGCTTGGTGAATACGTTTATTTTGCCCAAATACCGGGTGACATGTATATGGGGAGCTATAAAGGTTAAAATGGTCCCCAAAATCCTCTGATTTTATTATGATTCCACGTGCACCCTTGGAGGTTATGGTTAATACTGTTTATAATTTGGGAATGTTTTCTGCACAGACTGTGATCTCCTGTATTGGCCTTTAGTTGGACCGAGAGAACACTATTTCCTTGGCATCAGAGGCTCCATTGGTACTAACTTTGCATCACTGGTTCATGAACGACTAGGACATGATAGTAGCCCAATCGCTACCAACAAAACGAATACTCCCAACCAACACGGCTCTTTTCAACCAATTAAGTTGTGCTTCTACTCAAGGCAGATTGAAGAGATTGCTTGGCTGAAAAAACAGGTGGGATTGTTTAAATATAACCCCAGATCAACACTCTTTGTTTTGCAGGCTTGCATCTGTAGATGGTTGAAAACAAATCTTAAGAACTGAAAAAAGTAGAGGGATGTAATATGTTAAATTGCTGCTTACAGGCTTGAGGAAAAGGACTTTTGGGGAAGTGTACATGTATTTAAGGTATTTTGAAAAATAAAATACACTAGCTCGTCAAGCAACAATTGAAAAGAAATGGAAAAATGACAACTAAGAAGATAATAAGATTTATATTTATATGAGAAACTCCAGTGATGTGGGCCCCGATCTTTGTTGATTTGACACTGCTTTCTATGATGTTTCAACTTGTTGTAAAGTGCACCTATATATTTTGAAGTTGTGGCCTCCATGAGTGTGCAGTAATACAGATTGGAATTCAAACATGGTTTATTTAGTTTCAGTAGTTTGACAGAGAGACAAGAGCAAGCTAGTACCTGGAGGCCGTTCTCTGGAGATATCAGAGATATCTTATCACTGGTGACACTACTCAACAGGTATTGAAACAGTCTACATCATATTCTGATATTAGTCCATGGTTATGGTAATGGTGAGATGCCCGGTTGTTCTGTAAATCTTGACTTTGGGTTTTGTCTTTTAAGTTTTCAACTAATGAGAATCTCCGGCCTTTATGGTTGGGTTGAATTAAACTACAAAAAATGGATGGGATAATTTGGTATGGTTGTACAATTTGTGCAAAAGTGAACAGAACCCATACAGAAGCTGCATCTACAGGCTGCTTGTTGTGAATGAGGAGTGTACTGAAATGAAATGTCCTCCTTCCTGGATCCAAATCACGTACAAGGATGAGTGTGCACATTCCACAAGGGTTGTTTAAAAAATCTGGACGTGTTTTATTTTATCAGCCAACTTTTTACTCACTGAAGACATCCTTCTGTGTCAAATACATGAAAGGTGCAATGCATCAGGTTGTTACAATATGGCATGCTAGCCCACAGTTGGTACAATTTGCTCTTTTCACGCTGCTGCCCCAGGCATGCAAAATCTCGATCTTGATCTTTACAAAATCGGTTCAGTGATTTCCATGTATGTTGCTTAGTCATTGTGTGCATGCTGTGTCGGATTTTATACTATTTTATACTTTTTTATACTTTTTATCAGAAGCTGGGATGATAGTGACACGATTGTACAATCTGCCAGATTGAGGCTCTCCATGCCTACGGCGGCAGCATGCAGAATAAATAACGTGTGTGTCCAGAGTTTCTTTCATGATATCCTTAACACAGGCTGGCTTCTATCATACACACCAAGGATTCAACATTGGCTGGAAAGTATGATGTAAGCCATCTTGACAATAATTCTTTGGGGTTCCACATGCCTGGAAGAAGGTCATTTAGGGAAGCACTTATAACTTACTTTTCTCCATCTTTCTCATTCTCCGCTGCCCTCTGAGAATCAGTTAATCCAAGCTAATGCACTCATGTTGTATTGTCATTTCTTCCTTTTGCATGTTTTTAATGACTGTTGTGTGTGTCCATCTCAGTCAGAGCACAAGCCGCTGAGTGAGCCGCTGTTCATGGTACATCCAACCTCTT